GGTCGGTTAGCAACAACCTTGACTGCAGATTGTCTTTTGCCTCAAGCCGCTTTAATGCTACAATCTTTTGCCTCAAGCTGATAGCTGCGCGCTCTTTCAACTCGTCCTGGAAGGGTTGCGGTCAGCGGCGTCGCGACAGGGAGAGAAAAGACTCCGCATCTCTGCCCGACCCCAAAAGATGCCGTGGCGGGGGACCATAATAGATGCGCAACGACATTTGAGCAACTGGGGCAAAAACCATGTTTGAGCAACATCATTTTCGCGCGTTTACTAAGAAATCATTGTTGCTCAAATGTCGCAACGCATCTGTCTTGGTCCCCGTGATGGTGCTGCTATAACTCCTTTAAAGGCATAGGTAAAACATGGCCCCGGCTATGGATTCTAGATAGATCTTGCCGCTCACAACGCTGGTTTTGCTGATTCCCGCTCTTTTCACCCTTTCGTTTCTCCGGTGCGCTTTCGTTTACCGTGATCCGTGCAATCGAATCCATTCCTTTCGCAATTTCTTTTTCCGGGAAAATAAGCTCGGGTTTGCTCCGCGGGGAGCACTACCGTAACCCTGTTTGCTTCCGGGCCGGTAAGAAAGATAACGTGATTTTGTTGTACCTTTAAAGCTAGCAGCGACAAGCTACCAATCATCCTGCAAGACCAGTCTGCACCGGAATCGCACAAATTAGGGGGAGGGGCGGGGGGTGAATTAGACGAGTCCGTGCAGTAAGTGGGTGTGTAAGCGGTTGGGTGCCTGGGGCTGCAAAATGCGAATTTTAGCGTCAGCAGCCCATTTTATTGGTGTTTGGTGCACAGACGGAAAGATAGCTTTTTGTACCTGCCATAGGTAGGTCCCCGCTTGAGGGGACTGGGTATGTATGTTAACTCTAAACGGAAAAAAGGTTTTATAAATGGTACACTTTTTCACGGAGGTCACCTACCATGATTTGACTGCAATTATCTGCACGTCAGTGGTTGGTTTTTCAAAATCTAGCAATTCAACATTTTTTTAGTTCGGTTTAATATCGATTCATATCTTGCGGCGTGAATCCCGAAAGGCCATTCAAATTTTCAGTGTTGTCGAAAGTGTCGACGGATTCGACGGAGTTAACGGCATCTGTCTAAAGGCGGATTTTTGACCGGAAGCTGGCTACATAGATAGACTATTTGTCAAACAGGCGAGAATAACGACATGATGTGAAAAAAACTTACATTAAACGCATAATGGTTGCCACAAGCGCCTTCTCTTCAAAGTCCCCGTGGATTGACTGCCTAGTGAAGCTTTTGGTGAGGCGAATTGAATGGTTTCCTGCAACAGATTGAACATCAACACTTTAATAAAACAGAGGTCTGTAATCGAACTGTGCGGATCATTAACTTACATTCATGTAATAACATTCGATCAGTCGGTTAGTCCTCACCGGCAACTTCTGCCCATCGACCACGGCTTCTAACATGACTTGAGCGTTATTTGGATTGGGCGTGAAGACCGGTTCCTCTCCATTGCAAAGCGAGGTACTAAAATCAGATAGTTAAAGATAGTTTTTTAGAATGTGGGAAAATAAATGGATTCGAGTGAATTTTTGTTGTCACTATCACAACTATGGAGTACCGGTAAAGGTTGCTTAACGGGGGGACAAATAACGGGGCTGGGAACAATTTTTCCCCCATAGGGAGCTGTCGTGCCAATTCAAGCATGCCATCGGATAGAGCGCCAAAAATTAAACCAAGAGAATTAATATCGATCCAAAATAATGTGATTTAAATTAGTGTAATTGGTATAATTTTCGACGCTTGATCCGATGGCGTTTTCAAAATTGCGGGATGGTCTTTGCAAAGACCAAAGTTGTTTCCACCCCCGTTAAGCAACCTTTACCGGAAAACCTTACTTGCATACACAAAGGTATATAAATCCATCAATAAAGCTGACGCTATCGTGAAATGATCCACTTCTTCGTCGAGCTCCATGTCCACCATATAGTGGTTAGCCAGCTGCTAATTCTCTGCTGCCGTTTCGCCTCGAACCTTAGGAACTAACCAAGCAATGTGAAAAGGGTTTTGATTAGCTGTTTAGGACCTTAGTTTTTCGGACAAGTGATTTTCGGACAGGAGAATAGGGACCTGAAGTAATTTTTTTGTAAAAATTAGCACACAATTAGACCCGAGGAGGATGATTCGCTTTGTTTCGGAATGTTATCCTTATCCTGGTCAAGAACAAGTGTACGCTCTCAGCCTTATCCGTCAAATTTTATGCAAATTTATTACAAAGTTTTCCTCAATATCGCGCCTTCTTTTTGCAGACAGCATTATATCCCTTGGCACTCGTCCAAATGTCGTCCCATTTGTTCAGGTATAACTTGTCGTCATTGCTGTATTCCTCCAGACGGGTTGTGTAGATCTGAAAACAATTTGAGTCATTCTCTTTACTAGTTCACGATCAGCTCGATACGCGACGTGGCCGCAACGTGTCGGCACCGCAGCTAATCAAGAAAACCAAGATCAAGCGCTACACACCTGAATATACTGCGCATTTCGGTGATTGTCGGGCTGGCCACTGGCCCACCTTGCGTATTCGAATCGGCTACCATCGGTCCAGGCAAAGTCCTTCTTTCCGGGCCCCATCTGAAAATGGGTGGCGAAGCATTAATAGGCTGTTGAACCGAAGCAAGGCCTTCTTGCTTTCTTAAATTTTCTAAATCTTCTAAGGACCGACCCGCTTCCCACCAATCCACGTTCCAGCTTGGTCCAGCTTGTAATAGTTGCCCTGTCGCCCATGCACGTATGTATCGGCAAGTTCTAGAAATTAAAGGGAAAGTGACAGCACGCCCGGTTGAAGGTCAGAAGAGTTGTAAGCACCGGTTTTTAGGAACCAGAAGTAAATCACAACGCAAAAAGCAGCGTGTAGATGCTGGCTAGAACTCGGCGTATAAACTAGGATCTCCGCGCATGGCTCACCCTCCCGCTTTTGATACCAAATCGCTGCCAGAATAAACTATCGCAGTGCTCAGACCCCCTAAGAAGCTCAAAAGTACGCCTAATACCTGTAACGATCCGATTCTCCTCATCAGAATGGATTGAAGTTAGCTCGGCTCCTAAAGCGAGGCATTGATTCCGCGCCTCGGGCCAGGTGAAGCCATCAAACGTGCCGATCAGCTAAATATGGTCATTTTCTAGTCTTTGCGTAAGAAAGACCTTATAGCATCCCATGGTATCTGGGGAATACATCCACTCCGGGTCGCAGGGTGGAATGGGACGGCCGGAGATGCAAAAGTCCTCCTAAAAATATAAAAACTGTTATCGTTACCGTAGCCAATTATCGGCGCAAGAATTTTTTGTGCTACTCAGAACGTTCTGTGTTACTACAATTAAACTACCTCACGATATCCCACGCAAGCCGCCGCGTACGTCGCCTCACGATCGGTATACCAACTTTGGTCCTTCAGGCTTATCGCCAGGTATCCGGGCATTTGATAACCTAAAGAAAAGTGCGAATCTGGAATCTTTAGAGAAATCTTACGTTTTCCGAAACTGTACGCAGCAGCTTCTGAACCGTCGTTCCATTCCACGTGACTGCCATTATAATATCCTCCCAACCAGACCCATTCTGTGGAGTCCTAAATTCCGAATAATCGTTTTTGATAAATGTTACGTATCTCAATTTTTCTCCGTGCCTGTCTTACCAAAGCGTGACTTTCATCGGCCTGGAGAATTGAAGCCCCAGTCATGCCGAGGCTAAAGTTCATAAATGTTCAACGTTCGCCCCAGGTCCTTCTCTGCCACCGTGAAAAAATTGTTTAGAGAAACCAACTTGTTACAATAATCCATCGCCTGTTGCCACGTCATCTTCATCGGGGTCACATGGTAACACTTTGTGCCCGACGGGTCCCAATCCGAAGCCCCGGGGCAGAATCCAGAGACGGTATAAATAAAGAGAAACGGTATTATGTATTGCACATGCATCTATGAGCTGCAAAATCTATAATAAAGGCTTTTTTGCGATTAACTGTGGCACTAGGAAAAGCCATGAATTAAGGACAAAACATGCATCTTTTAAAGCAAGACGGCGCGATTGCGCTGCTGAAACAAGGTTTCAAAGCTTGGTTATAGAATTTTCCTATAGAAATTTCCCGGAGTTTTACTTAAGAGAATTCGATTAGGCGGGGGCAAACATTTTAACTGAAGAGAAGTAAGGTAGGTCAAAAAGGGGTTGAGAGCCTCAGCAAATCCGATCGGCCATTGTGATTTGGAATTTTAATAGGAGTTTTGAAACCGGGCAAGAGCATTTGAATGGGCGTGCCCGAGTGTCCTTTTCCCTGGGATCGCTCCCCTTTCCGGGAAAGCCAGGGAAGCCAGAGAAGCGGTTTGTTTATAACTCGAGGGGAGTTATCGGAAGATCGGACCCTTCAAAAAAGACAAAAACCACGTTCTGATTGATATGATTAACAATGATTTCTGACGTTATATCACCCATCGACGGCGTAAAGAAGCGAAATGCATTACCAAGGAAAAGTGCGCGTAGAAATAAAATTAGGCAAGATTATTGGAAAAATGCACGTTTTCCTTGCATTACCGGGCTCGATAGTACACGAAAATGATCTGGTTGCTCTGGAAAAATGGATTTTCAAGCAGATCCGGAAAAATTTGACCTAAAGTTTTTGCATATTCACGTGTTTCGCATTCGAAATTACGCATATTCCTGGTAAAACAAGCCCAAATTCATTCACAATTCCACGTCCCCATTTTTCTGCCATGATGTGGTGGACAACTAGTGTATGTAAATTAGGCTTCGATGCAAATTTAATGTAATTTCCAGGGATACGAGCCGCTGCCAATGGCTACGCCGAACATTCGCCCCAGTTTGCGCACCTATCGACGCCATGTGTACATCGCCGGCGGGCTGCTGCTGGTCTTCGTCGGCCTGTTGATCATCTACTACCATATGGGGACGGCAGACACGGATGTGGTTCAACTTCCCGGATATCAATCGGTGCCGGAGAACGACAAGTTGAGGTACGGCTTAGTAAGGCTGGGTTTCAAAATGTGGAAATTGAAATTGCCGGGATTCACCTTGTCGAAATTTCAGGTTGTCGAAATTTTATAATGCCGACAGTTCGATACGGCGAACTTTTGTTGTGTTTTTAGGCGGTTTCCAGAAGCTTTGGTCAAGATACAATTCGGACTTTTGAAAATCGATATTTGAAATTCGGATCTTGTGGAATTTCGATATCATTACATTAAACTTCAAAACTATTAAACTTCCACATCACCAAAATGCAAAAAACCTCTATTTTCAGAGCTAAGTCTTTAGATGGAACTACTACCGTCCAAATATTGCTTATCGCGACCTGGTCCCGGATAGGAGATCGGAAGCCGGAAAGACAAAAGAAGAAGCTCCTTCTGAGAAGATGATCATCCTAGGTCCGTTTTTTAAAGGGACGGGCAAGCGACGGAATTTGCTGTTTATGAATCCTTGATGATTCTGCCGTTTTCGCAAGCGCAATGCGCAAAATGATGCTTTTCGTAATCGACTACGGCGAAGCTGGCTCGCGCTGCACTGTTAGCTGCCCTATTTTCTCCTTTTCAGAAGGCCTTTACACCCCGGAAGACTGGTCGGCAAACCCCGGGTTGTACACGGTAGCCGTGGAGCAAAAGAAGAACCACACCGCTGAGGAAATGATGAAGATTCTAGATTGTTCGTTTTTTTTCTTAATAAATGGTAATTTCTCTACTCCAGCAAGCAATTACGCCAAATTCCTCTTTTTCGTCGACTCGCCAGCGAATGACTTTTTCCAAATCATGCGGCCCGAGAACGCCTCCGAGCTACGGCTGATGCCAAAGTTTGTTGATTTTTTGGGAGATGTAAAGAGATGAATTAGGTTTCGGTTCTGGACTGTTAGCGGGGGTGTTAGTTTCTCCCAGTAACTCCGTACGGCCCTAAATAGCAATATAAACCATCTTTATGACATTTTACATGTTTCTTTAAGAATCAAAAAAAATCTAAAAAATGTTCCCTTGGCTGAAATCCCCCCCGGCTAACAGTCCCGTACCAAAAAATTATACCCTTTCCAGGAGCGCCTACAAACTAGAGGGCAATCTCTGGATACCGCGAGATCCCAAATTACACCAACGACTCTGGGCAGGCTCCAGAATGCTGGAATGTCTAAATTGTAAGGGTTTACCCAACTTCTAAAACGAGGATCGGATTTAGTGACGAACCTGCGCAATCTCACCGATCCGCCGAGTATGATCCCCGACGACGTCTACTGGCTCTCCGTGATGCGCGACCTGCACTTCGAGTATCGCGCAATTCCGTTTCTCGTCTCGGGCACATTACTGGGTTGATATATTTTGGTGGTTGGATACCAGCAGGTACCTCTAAGCTAACCAGGGACGCGTAGTCAGGCTAATAGATAGTTTTTGGTGGTACAGGGCGTCCCTATGCAAGAACCGCCTCCAACTCGACCCAGAAGTATCGGATCGGAATGATCGTTTCACCATTCGAAAGGCCTTGAAACGGCGAGTTTGCAATAATCTTCAAAACGTCTTTGTGACGCACCACTAGCTTGTATACAGTTCTGAAAACCGGGGGGGCACTCAAACTTTTTATATGATAAAAGTATTTTTAAATAAGCTTTTTTCGGGCTGTAAAAAAAACTCTTAGTATATTTTTCGGTCCTCTATCGAATGGCATTTTCAAAATTTCGAAAATATTCAAAACGCCGAAAATTTTTTCCCCCCCTGTTATCCTATGTGCTTCCCATAGTTTTCAAAAATAGTTTTTAGGCTATAAAACTTTTATAATACATTTTTTCGCGTTGTAAAAAAATCTCTTAGTATATTTTTTGATGTTCTATCGATTCGCGTTTTCAAAATATCGAAAATCTCAAAAATTTGGCTTCCCCCCCGTTATCCTATGTGCTGCCCATGGATTTTGATCAATTTTTGTTTATTCGATAAAAAATTTCATTTACATTATTTTGGGCTGAAATTAATTTTCCTAGGGCAGTTTTCGACGCTTTATCGAATGACGTTTTCAAAATACCGAAAATGTCGAAAATTTGACTTCCCCGTTATCCTATGTGCTGCCCATAGATTTTCCTCACTTTTTGTTTATTCAATAAAAAATTTCTATTACATTATTTCGGGCTGAAATTAATTCTCTTAGTATATTTTTCGACGCTCTATCGAATGGCACTCGCAAAATCCCTCAGTAATTGCAAATTTCATAATAATGAGTGCCCCCCGTTATTTTATTCCCCCCCGTTATCCTATGTGTACCATTTTTGGTGGTACAGGGCGTCCCAATGCAAGAACCGCCTCCAACTCGACCCAGAAGTATCGGATCGGAATGATCGTTTCACCATTCGAAAGGCCTTGAAACGGCGAGTTTGCAATAATCTTCAAAACGTCTTTGTGACGCACCACTAGCTTGTATACAGTTCTGAAAACCGGAAAATCTTAGAAAGAAACTTGCAAAATAGCGCATTTAAAATAAAAACATGGTTTGAAAGATGCGTTGCAGACTCTCTGTCTAAACGGCGTTCGAATGGCATTACTATCATTCCGCTCCGACTTTGGCTTCGGGTGAGAGGGGAAATTTTTTTGGACGCCCCAGAACTCTTCGCAATAAGAAAGAATTCACAATCATCCCATCTTTTCAGGCTGGCGTCGTGAATGTTCCGTGATCCCGCACACGACCGACATGGACATGGCTACGTTCGAGGATGAATTCCCAATGGCGCTTGTCAACGACTCGATCAATATCCACGGGAAACCATTGAAGCTCTCCCGTATCCTTGGCCGGGTTAGAAAATTATGGTCGTACTTACTCTTAAGCGGCGAAGAAGCCCTGGTTGACCTAGAAAGTATCCAACCACGGCGGCCGCAGAGCGTCAACTCGTTAAACGCAAAATTTTCCAGCCAGGCGACAGCTACGAGGCGACGTTCAGCCTGGACACCGAGCGCGGCACCACCGTGAACATTGACCTGTTCACGATGTATCGCGACCCGAGCATGCGCCGCTACTACATCACCATGGTCTACAAGGTCTACAAGCCCGCCTTCTACGTGTTCAAGCAGCTGTCACATCTGCAAAAGTTTCAATCGACTTATCCGTGGTGAGTGCTGGTTTGATTATACAGGTGTAACAATAAAAAACACCCCCCGCCCCTAACCCGCCTTTTCGGTATTTTCGCTTATTTTGTCGGGATTTTTGCAACGCCATTCGATAGAGCGTCGAAAAAATATACTAAGAGTTTTAATTTGAGCCTACAATAATGTAAAATAAAAAAGTTGTAGCCAAAAACTTCCGGCTGGCGGGGGTAAAGTAAACCGTAGCCGAGTAGCCCAAATCCACGTGGTTTTGTAATTTTGATAAACACGGAATATAAAGGTTCGGCGCTGATCTGTGCACGGCCGATCTGCACGGTCACCTCTTCCATGTCCCCTGCAATCCAGAATTGATTTTGGAGGTCTCTCTGAAAGCTTGAGAAATTGAACACTAAGACATCTAGGCTGATTACGGCAAGAATTGGCGCGTCGACCAGAGCAACAAGGATTACACCTGGGGCAGCAACACCATCAAAAGTGGACAAATTCCGGCCGCCGAAGCGTAAGTCGCTTGATGAAGAATGGACGAGGAACGAGCTAATGCTCCGTTTTTTATGATATTTTTGGTTTTACAGCCGCGCCTTCCACCGCTCTTTCTGAACACCTCGCTACGAATTGGCCTACGGTTGCGAGCATCTCATTTCCCTGAATATTCGTTGAAAGCATAAATGGCTTCGAATTTGAGCGTAATAGATTGCAACACAGACACAAATTAAACTTGCATGACCGGCCTAGTTTAAATAATGGTTTGCAGAGAATCAGGTTTAGCATTCATAGGCATTAAAATATACCGTACTCCGGGAATTCGAGAAAGAGAGAGAGAGAGAGAGAGAGAGAGAGAGAGAAAGAGAGGGACAGCGTGCGAGAGAGAGAGAGAGAAACGCCCAATTCATGGTTCCGGACGGGATCCAAATTTACCCGCCTTACCGATGGAGCGGTCATAGTACCCCCTCCGCTGCCCATGGCATTTGATATTTTTTATTCAATAAAAAATTTCCATTACATTATTTCGGGCTGAAATTGGTTCTCCTGGTAGATTTTTCGACGTTTTAGCGAATAACACTCGCAAAATCCCACAGTAAGTGCAAATTTTATAATAATGAGTGCCACGCGTTAATCCCCCCCCCCCGCACGTTATCTTATGTTTATGATGTATTTCCCTGGCCAGATTCAGAAACGATAAACGGTATTACTACCGACATGAAAATGTTGCCGACTTTATTCAAAAGACACAGAATTTGTACATTCAACCGGGATTCACAAACGAAGAGAAGAAGAAGCAGGTAGAGGAGGACAGGTCAAGTTGTTGAGTGCAACGTGCCCGAGAGCTCCACGATCCGCGTACCCGCAGATACTCGGGTAAAAAATCAATGCCGGGTCCCGCAGCACGGCGTATCGAACAGCGTTCTGAGCACTTTGGTCGTACCTGAAATGAAATTGGATGAGGAATACCGGCACGCGGCAACTGCCGAGGGTCAGAAATGTGGATGCGAAAGCGATAACGAACCGATGGCAGCCCCTTTGCCGGTTTTCCCGCTTGCAGTAACGAGTAGCGGTCGGTGACGCGATGCAGTCCTTTGTTAGCGCGCACAGCAGTAGCCTGCGAAGATGTAGGGATGCCCAAATGTCAGGTTGAACGAATGTTCTATGGCCTAGTAAAATTGTGGACAGCTCAATTCTGGACATGCGACACGCCATTTTGTGGCTCTCTGCCTGGGACGTTTCTGGAAGCGGTCCTAAGCCCCCAAAATCAAGGAGGGCGAAGATACAGGTCAGATAGGCATTCTTTTCGGAAAAATTAAGAAAACGCGTTTTAGCGGGTTACCTCCGCATTCCGCATGAAGCTACGGCTGTGGTTCAGTTTTTCTTTACGGGGCCAGGGTTGAAAAGTCGCGAAGCGGCTTTTCAACCCTGGTGGCGTTGTAAAAAAGTTGTTACCATTTGGCTGCCAGCTTTGTCGTTCGACTCGGGCGCATGAAAATGTGCGCGGCTCCATTTTGTTTTTGAGCGGCCAGCTTCGGCGGATTCGGCAGATATTTGAACATGGCTGGAAACGGTTTGATGTATATGTACAGGGTGTCCCAAAAAACGAGCGATTCTTTTCGTTTCTTTTTTTCAAACGTTTTTTCGGACAGCCTGTACAAGCTTCATTGACATCCCAGGCTTCATAGAGCCAGCAAATGGCGGGAAGCCTAGTTACATACCCGGATCGGTGAAGTCAATGTTCATGAATCCAGTGGAGCCTTGCATCAAGTAGTCGGGCGCCTGCAAATGCCGGCTACGGTCAGGTCGGAAACACGCCCACAGCCCCCTTCTTACGATCCGAATGTATCACGACGCGCCGTTCTGACACGCTAGCTAATCGTGAGACCAACCCAGAATGACCAAAACTCTCTCTGTCGCTCTCTCTCTCTCTCTCTCTCTCTCTCTCTCTCTCTCTCTGCCTCGCTCTCGCTTCCTCTCATCTGCTTCCCCTTTTTCTAGCAAAAAACTGGCTGACCGTGCCATTCTTCACTTCTTCATAGAACGTCCTCACACATTCCACAGTCTTGAAGGTCACTGACGTGTCGAGCATCCAAAACGGGCGTCCATCAGCCATCATTTCCTACAATTTCATTGTTTTCTGAAGAGTTGCTCGTTTGATGCGTGATTAATAAAGGAAAACCCACAGCCATGATGAACATCTTGAACGCGTAATTATAGAGATTCGATGTGTATGAGGGATAACTGGAGAAGTCGAAGCGACGGATGGTCAGGTTGCAGACTCCTGACACTTCAGCCTCCTAGAATTACTCGGTAAAAGCTTGTTCCTCGGGTTGTTACATGAGTTGACTTGTAGGCCCCTTTGTTTGCCAGCCCCGCCTAGGAACCAGAATCGTTTCGCTTGGGCCTTCCGGGATGATCCTTTCCCACCTCCTCTTTTGTCAGCCCCATATTGTAGAAGATGATTCGATTGTTCGGGAATTTCTGGCGAAGGTCACGCACGCTGCGACGGGCCTCCCGAAAATGGTCGCTGGATGCGTACATTGCAAACACGACGTCATCTGCCCTAAAGCAACGATGAGTTGATCTTCATCTGACAGGTATTTCACGTCACACACAGTCGAATGCCTGACTGTGTGAAATACGTGTCAGATGAAGATCAAGGAAATGACCAATAAAGATTTAGAACTTCAAACATCCTACCTTATATAATTTGGTCGCGTATCTTTGTCTGTGTGTGTGTCCGGCCGACACTTTCGAGGACCGATTTGAGGTCCTTCCCGTGTCCAAAATGCCCTAATTCTCCGTCACCCGGGGGAATCGACCCTCCTCTTTCCGATGGCGCTTTCAGAATCCCGATAAAATACAAGTTTACAAAGTTAAAGCCGGTTTTATTGATTTTTGGGGGTCCGGGCGGGCTAATTTGCATAATGTGAAAAAATACAAATTTCCTCATTCTTGCGAGTTGCACACGCGAGTTTGGTCGTCTCTTTGGAGCTGCCTCTTGATGCTTTTCCTTCCCCTGCCCCGGGCTGTCCTCTTGAGGCATAAAACGGGTGTTGACGCCTGCTGACAAGCATTGCATGGTGTAGTGGTTAGCGCTTCGCCTTGCTAATCTAACCATCGGTGGTTCGATCCTCGGATATCTTAGTTGTTTTGCTTTTTGCTCGGAAAGTGCGTTTTGGAGTGGATTCCGTGTCGGGACGTTATTATGAAATTAGTCACTCAACCCGCAGCCTATAGAATGAAGCTAGCCGCTCAAGCATGCGCCGCGGATAAGGAATCAAGCTAACTGCTCAAGCTAGCGCGGCAGACTTTGGAACGACGCTAGCCGCCGAAACTAGCGCCGCAGGATAAAGGTTCAGGCCGGCCCCTGAAACTAGCGCCGTAGGCTGCGGAAGGAAGCTAGCCGGGGAAGCTAGCGCCGCGGGCCCAAGGTCAGAGCTAGCCCTTCAAAACTGCGCCGCGGGATAAGGAGGCTCAAGCTGGCGCCGCAGGCTTTAGAACGAAGCCAGCCGCTCAAGCTAGCGCCGCAGGCTTTAGAACGAAGCTAGCCGCTCAAGCTTGCGCCGCAGGCTCTAGAACGAAGCCAGCCGCTCAAGCTAGCGCCGCAGGCTTTAGAATGAAGCTAGCCGCTCAAGCTAGCGCCGCAGGCTTTAGAATGAAGCTAGCCGCTCAAGCTGGCGCCGCAGGCTTTAGAACGAAGTCAGCCGCTCAAGCTAGCGCCGCAGGCTTTAGAACGAAGCCAGCCGCTCAAGCTGGCGCCGCAGGCTTTAGAACGAAGCCAGCCGCTCAAGCTAGCGCCGCAGGCTTTAGAACGAAGCCAGCCGCTCAAGCTAGCGCCGCAGGCCAACGAATCAAGCCAACCATTGAAGCTAGCGCCGCAGGCTAAAGAAGGAGATAACCGCTCAAACTTGCGTCGCAGGCTTTATCTCGAAGCAAACCGCTCAAGCTGGCGCCGCTGGATGAGGACCTGGCCGATCAAGCATGCGCCGCGGGCCTAATAACGACACTAGCGATTTAAGCTTGCGCCGCATGTCAATACAAAGAGGTTAGCATGAGAGATGTGTTTTTCTTTCTTCAGGGTAACTTTATGTGGAAGGGCGCTCGATTCATAGGGCCTAGACGGGGTCCGCTAGCGGGGGAGAGTCGCGAAGCGGCTCCTCCCCCGCTGGTTTTCAAAATATTTTTGAAGCTTTCTAGCGATCAAAAAAACTACTAAAAACACTGTAAAAATACATAAAATCTGGTCAACAGGTGTGTTGGAACGCAGGAAGCGGTTCCCCCGCCGCAACAATCGAAAACCGAACCAATTATACCATACCAGAAATTCTCGGCTCGCGCACCGTCGATATGGCGCTGGAGTGAGGCTGAACTGTTCGAGAAGGGCAAAATGAATGAGAGAATGGCTCCCAGCGATTCCTTCTACCTCCAGAGACCACTGTAAGGCAAATCGCTAATTATCAGTAAGATTGATGGCTTACCGTCTCCGGATCGCCATCATCTACCAGCGACATCAACGCGTAGCATAGAAGAAAGACGATCGCTGCAGTCAAGCCGACAACCCGCCCAAGCCGTCTCATTTCAACAATGATCGGTGGGACACTTGGATAAGCAAATTCTACCCGAATACTTATACAAATTTTCGTAATGCAAGTGGGAGACGGAACGGAGGAGAGATGAAGCGTAGAAGGGAAGAAGGCACATCCAAAAATACAATACAATACGGGTTTCCAGAAAAATCGCTCTGAAAGGGCAGATTTTGGCTGACTTCCGTTTGCGAGCATCTCATTTTCCCGCATCGTTGTCGAAAGCAGATAAATGGATTCGAATTTGAGCGGTAGATTGCAAACCCATACACATGATAACTCGATTGGCATTAGAGTTCTAGTTGCGGTTTGTTCGACCACGACAAAGAAAAATTGCGGACGAAAAGGTATTTTTTTGGAGCTTCGCGTATCCTTCGCTCGTGGTTTGATCCCTTGATTGTTTTAGCGCTTCCTAGCAAAGATTGACACTAACAAGAAAACGTCGCTGGAAAAGAAACATGTGCACAAGCAACTTCCAAAAAGATACGCTAGTTTTGGCTGTCGGATTAACTTTCTTTCGGTTCT